AAAAATCTGAAGTAAAAAAGATCCTTCTTCCTGTCAGTATAGCAACCAACACTGTGCCAAAAAGTTTCGTCGACTGACTAGTGACAGTTAGTTTGCAACAAAAACATAGCGTGACACATATCCTCTCACTTTCTTTTTCACAATTAAGAAAGCGAAAAAACAAAAAGCACATTTCTTTTTTTCTATCAACTGTTTTGGTTGTCCAAAAAAAAAAATTTAGTTTTTCTTTTCATACTTTTTCTGACATGTATTGGTTTTTTCAAAACTTTTAAACTACTTTTATAACAATACAAAAAAAAAAAAGCAAAGATAAAAATTCAAAAAAATATTTATATATTATATTCTAACAAACAGTTTTTTTTTTTTTTTAATCCCAAAACATAAATCCTGGATCTGTTCGTGCTATATAATGTAGCAAACACTTTTATTCATACTTCTAATCAAAAAAGTTGACAGATTAGAGAAAGAAACAAAGACAAAAAAATAAAAATAAAAATAAAGCCATTAACCGAACAGTGCAAATGTGGAATTACAAAAGTTAAAGAGAGAGGAAAACTTGAGAAGCTAAATTTAAGGCATTAGAGAACGAATACGATTAGATGACATCAGATGTTGGTAAATTCTATATAAAAAGTTAAAACCGCACCTTTACAGCAGACTCTGAGGTCTAATAGAACTGAAAAAGGTATCAACGAGAATAGACCAAAAGCAAAATGACATGTCCAAAAATTACACCGACAAGGTAAAAGTGAACAAAAAAAATGGGCACAAAAATTCTCATTTTTTTGCTTGTCTTTGAAACAACTTTCTCGAGACAAACCCAATTAAAAATAATGATCAAAGTCTTTTTTTGTGAAAGGGAAGATATAGAGAAATGAAGAAATACAAGGAAAGAAAGGAAGCGGGAAAAAACAAGAACAAAAATTGAACCTTTCTCCTAAAAACTGTTCTCGCCCTCACCACCTCCCTCAGCTCGTCCGTCCCTTCTTTCTTCTTCTCCTCCCTATCGACGACTATATTTTTTTTCAACTTTCTAAATTTATAAAATATATCGTTGACTGGCAAAAAGTTTTGAGGTAAAACAGGGTAATAGGAAAAAAAAATTCACTCAGCCACTCATCTTACTCTCTCACTTTTTTACACGCGCTCATTGAATAAATGTAAAGCAGAGAAAAGAAGAAACAGAAAAAAAAATGAACCAGCTTTGGTTCAAAGCACAGTAGTTTGTGCAGAAAAAATACTAAGTGAAAAAATTAAGATTATATTTCTGAAGTAAAGTTTTCCACCTCCTACTATTTATTTCTTTTACGCATACTACTAGCAGCGATAAAATGATTCTCAAAATAGTAGACAACACAGAAACAGACAGAACAACAAAGAACAGTTTTATGGATTCCGCAAAACAGCAGCTCTATTTAAATCATACGCTCTTTTCTCCTTTTTGAATCACGTGGAAAATTAATAACCAATTTTTTTTTTTCGTTATCTCCAAAATTTAAATAAATAATAGCGGGAAAAAAAAGAAGGAAATTGAGGAAAATGAAGAACAGCGACGACAAAAAATGTGGTGAACAACCGTCGTAGAGGTGAAGGTGTTCGAGAAAAGGAAGCTGGGGAAGGGGATTGAGACGGGGGAGGAGAGACTGGCAGCCCGACATTGCGTATATACCACATGATCGGAGCAAAAAACGTGCCATAAAGGACGGAATGGTTGAGTCTGGCCAACTAGACCAACTAGACTACTACACTTTAAAGAAGAAAAAGAAAAAATTTAGAAAAAAAGCGTCTGAAACATTTTCTTCTCCAAAACCTTCATTGTCGCAGCATCAGCAATAACAGAAGTAGCACCATCATTATCAACAGCAGCAGCGACGTTGGTGGCACGTTGCATTACACTTTGGGCATTAGATGTAAGAGCAGGAAAAACGAAAAAAAAAAAAAAAAA